CTCCCGCAGGCTGGAACCCGTCTCACCAAACAGCGGGTCTCACCGGGTCTGGAACCAGCCGCTGATGGAACCGGTCTCGGGCCGAGGGCCAGGCACCAAAAGGGCCGCCTCCCAGCCCTGCCGGTCGATGCACCGGTAGAAGGGATGCAACCTCGGATCCAGTTCCAAGCTCAGTACCCACATTTTTTTTATTTTTTTTCATGCAGCTCGGTCAGCTCTGGCATTCAAACGTGCAAACTGGGACTGGGTGCTGCAACGCACAGCACCAAATGAGCAAGGCTCAGATCTGCTTCCCTCCGCATTCCCCATTTCTGCCCATTTCTCGACAAGGCCGCTGCTCTCCAGGGAAGACGCTAGGGTCCGACGCCTCTGAACAGAGTTGAGCACGGCCATGGCACTGCTCGGTTCTTTGGAGATTGGGAAGCCCTGGATACCTGAACCATGTTGCTTTTTGAAAACCTATTGTTGTCCTTCCAGCTTGAACATCAAAGACATCACAAATGCGTCCACTCAAGCTAAAAGCATCACCCAACCTGCAGCATTATGCTGAGACAGTCCATGTTCCGGGAGTCGATGGCCTTGGAGTCTTTCGCAAAAGCAAATATCTCTCACTGAAGCTGTGGGAAAAGGATTCCAACGTGTCGTTCGTGCCACTCTGGTGCCCAGCGTAATGCAAAGGCATGAAGCCATAGTCGTCCTGCAGGCCTACACAGAGCATGCTCAGTGCTCTTGTGCAAGACACTTTCAACATGAAGCGGACTCGCGGGCCCGAAGTAGCCCAACCAAACAACAACTTGGCCGCTATGTGCTCCATTCCCCGGAGCCGTCTATGGGCGTACCGGGCGCCCTAGTAGGGGTAAAGGCCCCGTCCCAGCAAGCCTGCATCGGCGCCCTTGGAGAGCAACCTCGCAAGGCTCTGCATTGACAAAGGCCAAGTGAGCAGCGAGCGCCCAAAGCAGATTGATGTTTGGTTCTACCAACACGCTTACAAAAGGCTTATGTAGATCTTACTATAACCCTTGTAAACCAAGTAGTAGACCACCGACTCAAATGGCCAATGGCGGTTCTGCCGCTGCTGAAAGGGTATTACCTATCCCGGATTGTCTAGACAAGGTTTCCACCTTGCAAGCTCGGCTTGTCGAGTTGGTTGAGGCTATGCACGTGGTAAATACAGTACCTGAGTTGCCATTCTCCGACAAGCGGGCTGCTGAAGGCAAGGGACAAATTAGAAGTCTGCGCGAAAACTGCTCGAGTGTGTCCTGAAGTTCCGCATTCGAGATGCAAAGGGCATGACTCATGAAGCATTGCATATCCCCAAAAAAACACTCCACAAGGGAATTTGACAGTATTTGCAAAACTTTTGCGCGATTTCCACCCCCTTTTCAGGCACTCCATGTTTGAGCATTTGACTATGCCCGCATCTGCTGACATTTGACACCCAAAACGCTTTAAAGCGCTTTAAAGCACTTTTGCCTTTTGCATTAGCGATGAAGACATGCTAAAACACAATTACCCTGGACACATTGAGAGAACATCAGGATTTCTGCACATTTGACACCAGATTTTTCTTTCTTGAGTATGACATATTATAATCCAGACCCACGTAATATGACATGTTACCTGGCTTCGCTTTCACACTGTACCAAACTTTGCTTACGATGCCAACTGTCCAATTAACTAGATTGAGTTATGACTAGACTATGTATGAAATGATTGGAAAAACGTCAAGAGGAGGAATACCACCAACACTTTGCTCAGAATGTAGAAATAGCAAAGCCTTAATCAATCATCTGCTAAAGTCTGCCAAATTTTGAAATGAGCCCACTTTTGGTAAAACCTGTCTAAAATGACTTGACCCCCTTACACAAGCAGCAGGCGCGGGTTTTGGGAGGGTGGTTGCATATATACATATTGTTGAAATACACATGCCCTTGGATACAGGTCACGGTAGTACAGCTTGTACATGGCCGTGGCTGTACATCACCAAGGCCTTGAGCCTATACATTTGCCAGAGTGGAAACAGGTTGCTACAGCCGCGCTGATACACGACACAGGTCCTCCACACTAGGTTACATCAAGTTTAACATGGTAGCGGAGCTCAACTGACTACAAGCTCCATCACACCTGGGAAAGATCCAACCAACCAAAGTACACAGTAGCACAGTGAGTGACAATGGCGGCACAAGGAAGCGCACAACAAGCACAACTCCAACTGCAACTTTCAGGAGTACACAAGTACAGAGTATCACCTCCACGATTCAGTGGAGAATACACCACCTTCGAAGAATGGCAAAATCCCCGGCTACATGCGCGCCCCCACACTTGGCTTCATCGGCATGTTTTACAGCATCATGGACGCTGTGGGGTACATGGGTCGGCTCATTCGCAGTGGCCATGACAGCACAGAGGACATGAGCAGTTGCTACATTTACCGCGTTTCGCTGCACACAGCTGAGATTTTGCAGCGTGTGTCCGAGAAGAAGATCTCCATCTTCAACCGCGGTTACATTGGGCTTGTGTTACAGCTGCATGAACACCACACTTGGGTTATGACAGAGATCGAGAGGAATACAGGCACGTTCTTTCGCATCGGTGGCGACATTCGAAATTTGTACAGGAGTTACAATTTGGAAAATGGTTACATGGTTTTGCAGCACATTGTCATCAACATCGAGCACATGTTGAGTCTGGAAGACAAGCTTGACAGGAAGCACGCAGGCTTCTCCATGGCCATCAACCAGTACACCTATGCTGCGATACAGGCGGTGCCTGAGCCTCTTCGTACACGGCTCTTTCACTACATCCTGGAGAACAAGCTCCAGCTGTCAGGAGAGGCTACAATTTTGGACCCTGGACAGGCAGGCTACAGCGACCAGCGCGTGAGAGATGTGGACAGTGCTTTCATCCTTTCACAGCACAGCGGATACAAGATGATGCACAGCAAAAGAATTCAGGACGAGAACAACTGAAATGTTGCACATGGGGATTACAATTTTGGGCCCTCGAGGCACACCGGACTTTCATGACCGCCCACAAGGGAAACAGTTGCACAAACAATCTGCATTCTGGTGATCAGTTTCTTTGCAGTTAAGTTTTACATCATCCCGCACTCCAAGGTCACGATGGTACAATGCAGTTTAGAGATACAGTTGAAATACTGTACTCTAAGGAGGCGTGTTGAAATACACATGCCCTTGGATACAGGTCACGGTAGTACAGCTTGTACATGGCCGTGGCTGTACATCACCAAGGCCTTGAGCCTATACATTTGCCAGAGTGGAAACAGGTTGCTACAGCCGCGCTGATACACGACACAGGTCCTCCACACTAGGTTCACAGGTTACATCAAGTTTAACACACATATACATGTGTGTAGATATATATATATATATGCCATAGCGCCCAGGAGAGATCTTGGAACAACCTTTGACACGGCCCCCCTTCCAGCGCCCCCGGGCAGGTCCGCGGCTGCAGCGCTGCCTAGGGCACACGCCTCAGCATACAAGACCCCTGCCAGACAACACCAGAAGAGGCCGAGAGGCCGAGAGGCCGAGAGAGGTGGAATCTTTGAGGCGTTCCAGCTCAAGCTCTGGGGCCTATGCGATGTGCAGGCCACTGCGGCCCGTGTTGTCGACCTGGTTCGGGTCAGGGTTTCACAGCTGGCTTCACAGCTTGGGAGGCGGGACGCGCTCGATTGCCCCGCCTGTGGCACCAAGGACCAAGACTGTTCCAGCAACAGCCTCGGATTTTGGACAGGAGGCTTGCTCTTTCCGCAAGAATCTCTCTCTCGCTCTCTCCCACAAATCCCCGGCTCCCGGCTGCAAGCACTGCAGGGACGCTTCAGAGACCTACATGCCGCGACAAATGATAGGACATAGCCCATAGTGCCCAAAGCTTGACACGAGGCCCAACACATAGCCCTGAAAGAGAGCTCGCTGGGCTGACTGCCACAAAGATGATTCTGCTTAGGCTAAATCGGCGGGCAAAATTGACTTGGGGTGCAGGATCGCCAGAGCAGCAAAAATTTAACCCTGCTCCAGGACTTCTTGAGTACATTTCGCACCCGATTCTTCAACCATCGTCAATCATCAGCTCAACTTTGTCCCTGCTTTTCGGTACATCTATCCACGCCACCGACAAATGAACCAACGACGTAGCGCTGCGATTTCCCAAGCACAACTCCAGCCTGCCGATTGCTGACGCCACCAAGCGCCAGGTGGATGCAGGGGATGAGGTCCTTGCCCCGACAAAAACAATATCCGTGATTCACCATGTTCGAGCGCAATCCAAGCGGTCCTTGTCAGACTCACCACTGGCCTGTGCTCAGAGCACGACAAACAACCCCGGAAAAAGTAGCCTGATGACACTGGCCTGCGCTTGACTTTGCGAGTGACGAAAGCAGCGGTTTTCAATTCACCGCGAAAGCCCTTTCCGCAGTTTCCACATCCAACGGCAAGCCTCGAAGGAGGCCGCTGCAAGGCGCGCAACTTCATGCTCGTCCTGCAGGCGCTCCGGGCTGGCTCAGCGACAGCATGCGTCGCGTGATCGATGCCCAAGCACCTACTTCTTAGGCCGGCGTCCTCCACCGACAGCAGCATCTTCACAATGTCCGGGCCTGCGTCCATCTGGTGCGCGTTCCCCCAGCTCTGCATGGCACATTGTCACATTCTGTGCCCCCGGGCGGTGCCGCATCAGCGCAAGATGGAGCATGTTGCGGCCCAACCTCAGGCCCCACGGCAAGTCCCTCGAATCCCTCTCGCCAAGAAGCGCCTGCCTAAGGAGTTGCTGACAGGAAGACATACAACATACTAGTCTTAAAGAAGATTGGGATGCCTCAGCCCAAAGCAAGTGCACGTTTCCCTTCCAATTTCTTCCAAGATACGCATCGTGTTTCCGCAGCAACGCTGGCCTGATCAGCAGCCACACACCCAAAAAAACACATGACCGATGTGAGCAAACCAGCGCACAGCGGACTTCCCATGATTTTTCCAT